AATTAGTTTAAATAATAGTACTCCCAGAAACATGAGTAAGTCAGGTACTTGAGTCATTGGAAAATTTTGTTTTCTAATCCATAGGTAATGATGCTAGATTTTACAATCGACTGCAAACTCCTAATGTTAACCTATAGATTGTTTTTTTTCCATTTACCAATTCTTCCTTAAGTAATTTCTAAATTCATACTAAATGTATGACTTCATTTCTCTGTGGATGGGTTTGAGAATATTATGAATGAGTTGTTCTGGCTGCTTAACAGCCACTGACCATCACCCTTCCTGCCCCCAGCTGTTAAACCACTTGCTTGTAGTGTAACAGCCTGGAGGAGGTTTTAACATAAAGACTGGAAAAGCAAGAATAATAGCCAGTACTATTCTTAAATTTTGATACTATAAAGATAAATACAGTATTTATGATAAAATATTAGTTGACAATTATGTTTATCTAAATAGAGAAACTGAATGATATCCAGAAGAGGAAGACTGAAAAGGGGAAAAATTTACTAAATGGATACTTTTTCATATTAATCCTTCTATTTTCACTGTTATGTATTTTAAGTTATTTTCGGCAGTTTTAAAATAAAACCTCATGTTTTAATTTCTATATTGCTACTTTGCTATCATGCTATTAACATGAGACATGATAATCTTGAATTTATGAGAATGAAACAGCCAGATTTAATCTTTCCTTCCAGAGCTACTTTTGTGTCAGTTTGAAGCAACCTTCCTTTCCCTTGAACTTTTTGCTATATCTATAATGAAGGCACATGATATTCCTGTTTTAGATTTTTATTTTCCTAATAGCTCCTTCCAGGTTTATTCAGCATGACTCAGCTTCTTGAAATGACCTAGGTATTTTTTGTTGAAAAAAGATAATGAAATAAGATTGTGGATTCCAGGAAATGCAATCTGTTACAATCACGACCCAGTACTTCATTCACCGGTATTTGTAAGGGACTTTGCTATGAAATCACTCCTCTTTAGAATCTAAGGTTAAAAGCTGCACATCTTCAGACTCTTAAACCACTTTTTTAAACTTTAGTTTGTTGGTTTTATTAAACCGGTAAAGTTGAAGTAATAATAACAACTACCACATAAATTTGTTGTGAGAACTTAATGAAATAATGTCTGTAGAGTGTTCACCAAAGCCTGGCACACTGTAAGTGCTCAGTTATTGCTAGCTTTCATAATCCACTAGAGGCCCAGTGCACAAAATTCGTGCATTCGGTGGGCAGGGGGGTGTCCCTCAGCCTGGCCTGCACTCTGTTGCAGTCCGGGAGCCCTTGGGGAATGTCCAACTAATGGCTGAGGTCCACTCCCTCCAAGGAGCAGGCCTAACCCATCAGTTGGAAACCCTTAGTGCTGCGGAGGTGGGAGAGGCTCCTGCCACCGCTGCTGCACTCGCCAGCCATGAGCCCAGCTTCTGGTTGAGCAGCGCTCCCCCTGTGGAAGCACCCTGACCACCAGGGGGCAGCTCCTGCGTGGAGCATCTGCTCTCTGGTGGTCAGTGCACATCGTAGTGATCAGTAGTTCCACCATTTAGTTGATTTGCATATTAACCTTTTATTACATGGGATGGTACATTCTTTTGCATATCTCTTGTTAAGTAAATTACTTGGGGATAGATTGGATTTTTTTTTTTTTTGAAAAAACAAAAACAAATATCATTTAAAGCAATGTTTTAGTGACTTTGAACACTTAGATTAGTATAATAAAACCACGTGGGTCAAAAATTCAAGTGCAGCAATGAAGAGGACACATTTTTTTGTGTGTGGATGGAAAACTATCTCTAAAGGCAATTTCAAAAATTACAGATGTATAGAACTTCTCAAATGGAATCCTGTATAGTAGTTGTCAACCTTAAGGATGCAAAGCATTGGCCAGCATAAATGCCATCACAAAACATCTTCGCGTAGCCTTTGTGTACCAGGCATGTGGTGTAGTCCCTGCCCTTGTGGTCTGGTGGGAGAGACAGACTTCAAACACTAACACAATTTTGCAAGCCACACGGTGCTATGACTGTCTGTGCTACGGATATGTGAACTAGTCAGGGGTGTCAGTGTGTGTATATATTAATCAGAGTTTGATGTGAGAGGAGTACCCCGACTCTAGTGAGAGGAATTTTTGGTTGTGATAGGAGGTGGTGAGACTGGTTGTGGGTTATAATAGTTAAGAGACTACAGTGGGGATTTGGAGATGTTTAGGTAGAAATTTAATGGTTTGGTGATGAATTGGATTGGGGAGAGGAGAGTCATCAGGAAGACTCCCAAGTTTCTGTCATCTGCAGCTGGCTTCTTTGGGATGCCATTCCAGAGATGAGGAACATCAGAAGATGACCTGTTTTTTAAGTCCTTAAAGAACCAGAGCTAATGATTCTTAAAGAACACTCTAATCAGGTAGAATGGCATAATAGCTAAATAGAAATACACATGATATTCCTGTTTTAGGATATCATGTGCTGGGGACAATGAATTCTAAGTGAACTTTCTAGGAGGAGAGGAATTTCAATAAAAAATAGGTTTCAAAAGATTTGGAAGATTCCTAAAAAAAAAAAATGGGAGGAAGGAAAGATGGAAAGAAAGGTGAAAGGAAGAAAGAAAGCCTTCTCCTCTCAAGCCCCAAAGAAACCACAAGAGGAAAGAGAATTTCTGATGGAGGGCTAAGCATTAGCAAGGATGCTGTGTCCAGAAAAGGCCCAGTATATTTGGGAAACAGACTATTAAACTATGAATGATTTTAATAATACACAAAGAAAACGAAAAGGTTTGTTGATATATTTTATGAATTAAAAATTATTTAAAACATTAATTGTCATTGGGTAATTTTTTTTTCATATATCAGTTTTGTAAATATATTATTTTGACTAGTAAAAATCTTGTTAAATTAAAGAGGCAGAGAGAGTTAGAGTGGTTAATTCTTAGCCCTAAACTCTCAATGAGCAATCTCAATTTATCTGTTTTTTAGACAATATGGTATGTAATGAGGTGATAAAATCATTGTAACCCTTGTAACTCTACATAAGGAGATAGTTGATTTCCTTTTTTGCCATGTACCAACTCTTAAAGTACTGTATTTGTTTTGTCTGAAATTCCAGAGTGAAGAACTCATTCCTTTGGTTTCCTTAAGAGATGTATTTTTCTCACAGAATGGTGATTTCTTATCAGTCATTTATCATGGGTCACCAAACTTTTATTTGTTAAGGGCTAGATAGCAAGTAACTTAAGCTTTTTGGGTCAAGAGGCAAAATCAAGGATGGTATTTTGATACTTAAGTAATGAGAGAAAATAAAGTTCCACAAATATGTATAGGTGAAATTCAAAACATTATCAATGAACACTAGAATTTGAATTTCATATACTTTTCACTTGTCATGAATATTATTGTCATTTTGATTTTTTTTTAAACCATTTAAAAATGTAAAAATCAGTTTTTGCTCATGGGTCAAACAAAAACAGGTAGTTGGAAAAGGGAGGCTAAATGGTGATGAAAAACAAAACATAAAAACAGGTGGTTGGCCATATTTGGGGGTTGGACTCTTTTTTTCCAACTCTTAATTTACATTACATTGTGAAAGAGTTTTTCTGTCATTGTATGTGATCATATTTTTTTGCTTTTGAACAAGAGAGAACATGAGGACATTGGTCATTGTTATGTGAAAGTGTGTACACAGATACACCTCTCTCTGGTGGAGGCATTTTAGGTTTGTCTATTCTTGGCTTGCTGTTTTTGGAAAAGCCCTGGATAAATAAAATGTCTGAAAAAAATATTTCACCTTCATTTTTGAAGTGTTTGTAAAAAAGAAATGATTATGGAAACTCATGACATTTTTGAGAATGTTTCTGTGCATCCACTCTAAAATTTAGATTTTTGCTTAGCATAATACTCTCCAATTCCATCCATACTGAAATAAGCCAGTCAGAGAAAGATAGGATAGCATCTCACTCATATGTGGAATCTAATGAACAAAATAAACTGATGAACAAAATAGCTCCAGAGACATAGACGCATGGAACCGACTGAGGAATTTCACAGGGAAGGAGTGATTGGGGAAGAAATTACCCAATGACTTATATGCATACTAGAGGCCTGATGCATGAATTTCATGCATAGGTAGGCCTGGATGGTGATCAGGCCGATCGGAGCCTTCCAGCTGCCAGCCAGGGCCTCCCTTCCCTCGCTGCTGGCTGCTGGCAGGGGCCTTCATTCCATGCCACCTCCTGGTGGTCAGTGCATGACATAGTGAGTGATAGAACTCCTGGTATCCCGGTCGAACTCCTGTGGGGACAATTTGCATATTAGGCTTTTAGATATATAGATATGCATAGCCCATGGACACAGACTATAGTGTGGTGAAGGACTGGAAGATGTGGGTGTGGGGCGGAGGGCATCAATGGGGGAAAAACAGAACATCTGTAATATTTTCAACAATATTAGTAAAAATAAATTTAAAAAATATAAAATTTAGATCTTAGTCTCACAAAACCATTATCATTGTGGGGCATGGAGTTTATTTTTCTTTATAAATTATATGATGATTATCAAAATGACAAGTTGATTTCTTTTTAAATAAACCTTTATTGTTGAGAGTATTACAGATGTCCCACTTTCCCCTCCCCCCATTACGCTCCTCCAGCTAGTTCCCATCTCACCCCAAGTCTACACCATTCCATTGTCTGTGTCCATAGGTAATATATATTGTATATATATGCATATCATTTATTTGGCTAATCTCTTCTTTTCTTCCCCCCCCCCCCCCTCGCTCCCCACCACCCACTTCCCTCTGAGATTCATCAGTTGATTCCCTGATTCCATGCTTCTGGTCCTATTTTATTCATCAGTTTATTTTATTCATTGGATTCCTTGTCCATTTATTTTGATTTTTAGATTTGTTGATAGATATGTATTGCCATTTTATTATTCATATTTCTTCCTATTCTTCCTCTTCTTCTCCTCTTCCTTCTTCTTTTCCTTTTTCTTCTTCTTCCTACCTGTTTTTATTTTGCTGCTTTTAAGATTCTCTCTTTTGTCTTTAACCTTTGGCATTTTAACTATGCTGTGTGTTGATGTGGGCTTCTTTGGGTTAATCTTGTTTAGGACTCTCTGTGCTTCCTGAATTTGTAAGTCTATTTCTTTCATCAGGTATGGGAAGTTGTTTGTCATTATTTTTTCCTGAATTTGTAAGTCTATTTCTTTCATCAGGTATGGGAAGTTGTTTGTCATTATTTTTTCAAGTAAGTTTTCAATATCTTGCACTTTCTCTTCTACTTTTGACACCCCCATAATGCAAATATTGAAGTTGTTCCAGAGGCGCTTTATACTATCTTCATATTTTTGGATTATTTCTCTTTTTGCTATTCTGATAGGGTGGTTTTTGCTTCCTCACATTCCACATCATTGATTTGATTCTTGGAATCTTCTACTCTAGTTGTTCTCAACCCTTTTAATGCTGTGACCTTTTAATACAGTTCCTCATGTTGTGGTGACCCCCAACCATAAAATTATTTTCATTGCTACTTCATAACTGCAATTTTGCTATTAATGAATTATAATGAAAATATCTGTGTTTTCCAATGGTCTTAGGCTCTGCAGCAGTGGTTCTCAACCTGTGGGTCAGGATGTCTTGGTTTCTCTACATTATGACTTTTGTGGGTTCTAGGCACTTTTGCCTTAGGAGCTCCTTATGCCATAAAAATATTAAAAGCTTTTATGTTTGTGTTGGTATAAAGAGAAATACAATTTAGGCTATATTCATTATTACATGTTAATCATTATTATATTGTGTTTCTTATTTTTTAAAAGAAATAAAAACATTTTTGTAGTTCCTTAAAGAAACATGGGCCCTAGGCCCATGAGTGTATTGGGTAAGTCAGCCCTAGCTAGGGCAGTGGAATTGGATTTGGGGAAGAGGATTATTTAATTAATTATTATTTCTTTATAATTAATTAATTAATTATTTCTTTGTCTACTTATAGAACCCATCCTCATTTTCTGCTGCCCCCTCCACACGATCCCTCTCCCCAGCCCAACTTGTACCTACTGTGAATCAGACTTGAGTCCCATTGGGCTAAATCAGGAGACAAATCTGAGAGAGAGAGAATTGTCTCCTCATTCAGAATACCAAGACTTACTCATGGGGTTCTGCTCATCATATCTACTCCGCTCTTCTTTGTTCATCTCATCTCCTCCCAGATGACTCTCCACATTCATGCAAATGAGATTTTGGGACATCCGTCCCATCACTTTGTTAGATACGTTCATATATATCTGAGTCCCAATGTGAAGATTCTTTCCACCCTCAACCTGCTTATCTGCATTGAGGGCATGTGCGTGCCTGCCCCAGGGATGAAAAAAGTCTTTTCTCACACAGAATGACTTTTGTATCCACTGGGCACATTCAGTTCCTTTCTTTTATGGCTCATTTTAAGGAAGTACTTGCTTTCTATTCTAAACCTATTTCCTCTGCCCCTTCTCACCTGAACTCCACGGTACAAATGTACTTTCTACCTTTCCTCTGACATGCATTATTACGTACATACACACCAATACATATGTTTATCTAGACTGTGAATACCTAGGTGATCAGAATAGAGTCTTACTGGTCTTTTTATTTTTAGTTGGACAATAAAATGTATGTGAATTTGTCTTATAAGACTACAAACAACTGGAGGCAAGATTATTTACCTTTTGCCCTTGTATCCCTCTCCACAGAATTCCTTGGACTTCTTAGTCACTCGGTAAATAAATATTTATCGAATTACGTAAACAAAAAAAAATGTTTGCTCTCGGAGACCTGGATTTTCTTATTTAAGTATTTGTTTATTTTAGGAAATCATGTATGAGATTACATTCAAGCACATTCTTAAGAAAATTTATTTCCACTCCCAGATCCATATGAGAAAAGTTTGAAGGAGCTAGAATTTAGTATAGAGAAGAGATAACTAAAGACTGAGTGTAAATGCTCCCTAGTGGATGCTTTTCACCAGTCATTCTTCATCTGAACTGAGGAAGGTGTATGCACTGTCTTATATATAAACACTAGAGGATGGATGCATGCAATTCATGCAAGAGTAGGCCTTCCCTTCCCTGGCTGCCGGCACTGGCTTACTTCTCAGCCCTGGCTTCATCCAGAAGGTCACCTGGAAGGACGTCCAGTATAATTAGCATATTATATATTTATTATTATAGATATATAGATTAGATGCTGTTAGTTATAGATCTGTGTTACTTGGAGAACTTACAGAATTAGCTTTGTTTAATAATAGGACAAAGAATCATATTCTTGGTGTGGATTTAGAACACATCTTACTACTAGTAAGCCCTTCAATTCTTTGTGGTTGTATAGTTTTCACAAATACTGTAATAATAGTGCAAGGGATATAGTATTCTGAAATTGTTAACTTATGTAATGAAATGTTAAAATATTTCATGATGTATGAGATAAATGTGGGACAAAGAAAGGAATATTAAGCATCACTCAGTATACATTCACATACCTTTTCCCCCTCAAAGACATAGCACAAAATGCTCCACTTTTCAATGGGTTTTCTAAAAAAAAAAAAAAAAAAAAAAAAAAAAAAAAAAAAAAAAAAAAAAAAAAGATATCTTTAAAAAGGCTAAGAAAGATTAGATAATAAGGGAGAAAAACATATACTTTCCTAAATAAATAATAATTATTATATGATTTTGAGATCTTAGGTTCTTTAGGAAATGCTACAAATATCTGAAGAGCCAGAGTTATACCTTTGAAGCCCATTTTAATTATTTCTTTGTAATAAATTACCCTCAAACTTACAATGAGATTTACTATTTCACACAGTTTCTGTGGGTCAGGAGTCCAGCTGTAGCTTAGTTGTCTGATTCTGGCTTGAGAACCGCATGGGGTTGTGGTCAAGATCTTTTTGGGGGGGCTGCTGCTATTTGAAGATATGATTGGGATGGAGGGTCAGCCTCTGTCACAACTGGCAATGAAGCTGGCTGTTGGCAGGAAACCCCAGTTGCCTACCACATGGAGGGGCTGCTCAGGAACATGAATACCAGGAGGTAGAAATTTCTGGGGCCAACTTGGCCAACGATTAGCAGGAACTTTTTGTAATAAGATCTGAAAATGGCACTGCAAATGTTTTTGCTGAACATTAGCTGCATATTAAGTTTCATTTTTGTTAAAATATCTTGAATGACTTTACAATAGAAAACATTTAAGAAAATTAATTGGACTTATTATTTGAGTTAGGAGCAACAAAAACAGTTTTTCAGATTTAGCATCATTGGAGAAACAGGAACAACTATGTTTACTTATCCTTCCTCAGTTTATATCTTTTTAAAAATATATATATTTTATTGATCTTTACAAAGAAGAAGGGAGAGGGATAGAGAGCTACAAACATTTATCAGCTGCCTCCTGTGCACCCCCTACTGGGGATGTGCTCACAACCAAGGTACATGCCCTTGACCGGAATCTAACCTGGGACCCTTCAGTCTGCAGCTCTATCCACTGAGCAAAACCAAGTAGGGCCTCAGTTTGTAACTTGAACATTTTAGTTTGTTTATAGATTTCTGGTACTAAAAAAACAAAAGGGATTTAAGACCTTTAGCATTAAATAATGTAGGCACGTGCCCAGCCGGTGTGGCTCAGTGGCCGAGTGGTCACCTAGGAATCAGGAGGTCACATTTCGATTCCTGGTCAAAGGCACATGCCTGGGTTGCGGGGTTGACCCTCAGTGGGGAGCATGAAGGAGGCAGCCGATCAATGATTCTCTCATCATTGATTCTATCTCTCTTTCCCTCTCCCTTCCTCTCTATAAAAATAATTTAAAAAAATAATGTAGACACTTATTTTCTTCCCAAATTTATTTCTCAATAGCATAATCGGAACCAGTGCATTTTCTGATATTTATACTCTTTTCTTCATCTCTCTATATAAACCGAAATCCTATTGAACTTGGAACCTGTGTATAATTACTATGCTTGATTGAATACATTGTGTTGCATTTAAAAAAAACCATTATTTCTAACTATATTCTAACTTTTTAACTATGATATATTCTAATCTTCTTGAGGAAAATAGCCTAGCCTTCTATTTCTCTTGGATTCCTAGTCCCAAAGCACTGTAGCATGGTGTTGCTCGCTTAGTTGATCATGGTTTACTAAGTATTGTAGTCAGTGCCTATTTCAGAGGATGTCATATCTGAGACACAGATGCTATAACCTAGAAACAAGCATATTAATTTAAAAATAACTATAGGTTTCTGAAAGGGGAAAAAAAACAAACAAAAAGATTTTGGGGGGTGTTCCCTTGTACGAATGTCATGGGGTAAAGGAGGTCAAGCCTGATCATTGGCTGGATCGTATTTTGGAAATATTTTCCCGATTGCATCTGTTTTAGACAACCTGGATTAAACAAGCTTTTCATAAATGCTTCAATATTATTATTATTTTTAAAAAGTACTATGTAGCACTAACTGGTTTAGCTCACTGGAGAGAGTGTCAGCCTGTGGACTGAAGGGCCGGTCACAAGTCAGTCCAGGGCATGTACCTTGGTTGCGGGCACATCTCCGGTGGGGGATGTGCAGGAGACGGCTGATCAATGTTTCTCTCTCATCCATGTTTCTAACTCTGTATCCTTCTCCCTTCCTCTTAGTAAAAAATCAATAAAATACATATTTAAAAAAAAAGCACTATGTATTGATAGTTTTATGGTCAAGGGCATCCATAAAAAGTGAAAATCTACTTGAAACTGTGATTGTGGAAATATTTTGTTTTTTGAGCAGGCTTAAATAATGGGCTATATCCTATTAGGACTTTGTAGAAAAAATTATATATATGTATATAAACATATGTGTATATATATATGTATGTATATGTATATATATTTAGCTATAGACAGTGTCTGTAGCAATTTTGATATTTAGATTTATGTGGCAGCCAGTGAAGTTCTGGTTGGATTTTTCTTCCAAATAATATTTTTCAAAACTGACAGTTTAATGAATGCAGGGTTCAGCCACCCAGAACTATCATATAAAATGTTTAATTTAGTTGTGTGTTTTTAAAAAAACGTCAAATGTGGTTAAGAATGAATGCAAAGCAGCGCTGGCACGTTTTGTGCGCCTCTGAGCAGGACTCTGCA